ATATATATATATACATATGTATATATATAAATATTATTATTATAATTATTATAATATACATAATAATATATATAAATATATACAAAATGTTATATATAGATAAATTCAAATGCTATGATTGAATTGTAAACGTGAAAGAAGAATCTGATGCATATGTAGACGCCTTAACCAACCGGGCCATTGAGGTTCCGTTGGGAATTCACTCCAGTGAAAGCGGCTCATCCTCATACTCAGTTGCGTATGCGTAGTTGAACAGCATTAGTTGTTATTGCACGGAAAATAAGAAAGATGAATATGATATACGCCCTCTCTTATAAGCATTTAATGATACGACGATCGAAAATAATATGATATATTATATCATTTTTAAATAAATCATAATGCGATAGAGATATAAACTCTAAACCGTATTTCGGTATGATACATACAGTTTGAACGTAAAAGAGGAATCTGCTGGTGTGAAATCTACGGCATCCACAAACAAGTACAGTTTAAAGTCTACAGTTTAGTCGACTGATCTAACCTGATATCTGAAATTAGCTTTAGAAAGAATAAGCCTACATTTAATTATGATGCTTAGTGAGGAAAGTAAATAATTACGCTATGCAAGACTTGAAGATAGGGAGTTGTAGTTGTGGTTCTATAGCTTAGGAATGGAAAGATGCTTTAGTCAGACTAAGATTAGATGTGAGACAGTTAATGGAACAATTTCCGAAATCGTCAGAGGCCGCGATCGTACGAAGACGCTCCCCGAAATTGTGAGAAAAACTTAACTTTAATTTTGGATAATTAGAAGGGGTTCTGAATTATTTCTTAAATATTTGTGTCTTTAAACATTATGCCTAAAATTAGAATTGATAAATCCTTACCAATAAAAACCGGGGCTAAAATATAAGGAAATTGATGACCAGCCTATAGTAGGCCTGACACGACAAAATTGGTCCGGGCCAAAAAATGTCCGGCGGACAGATTTTGGCCGCCAAAAGCGGTCAGCCGGACTACTAAAATCGGTCCTCCGGGTTGATTTTAGCCGCTAAATCCGGTCCCGCTAGGATAAAATTGGTCCGAGTCGGCCTGGACACTTCACTTATAATTCGTCTGCTGCTCGTAGGGTATGGTTTCTCTCGTGGAGTGGAGGAAAGTAATTTTGTTTCTCCCACATTTGCAAAGTCTTTTGCAGTGACAGAATGATTAGTATTAAGCTTTTGAGGACGTGTTTTATCAAACCCACCTAATAATGAATTTCCTAGGCCTAAGCGATCGATACACACTGAATAATTTTCGGCGGCCGTGGTTGCCTGGGTTTGGGGTTAAAAAATGAAACTCAAGACTGATTCATTAGTTTTAAATATTCCAGATTTTGTGGGGTATTAGATATTCTAATACATAAAATAATGGGGTAAAATTTCTTTGAATTGAATACATGTACTTCGTCGCAATGTTAAGCACACATAGGCCTAAGCAAAACCAAAAAAGGTAATAAAATAAGCTAAAGCGGACCAACACGATTTTACACCAGTTTACTGGGCGCGAAGCTTTACTTAATTTCACCTATGATTGCACACATAACGAATGAAAACAGTATTACATAATGAGAAATAAGATATTTATCTATCATTTAATTTTAAAAAAAGGATGAACAACGTTATAAAAATACAAGTTATAACTACTAAATAGACGCCAGACCGATTTTGGCTTATTTGGACTACATTTGGCAGGTAATTTAAAGCCAAAAGCGGTCCGGCGGACCGATTTTGGCCCCGTACCAAATTTTTCCTGACACCCCAATGACCAGGATAGCAAGGCCGCTGTCTGCCCCACGTGTACAAAGGAGGTCGGGAACAAGACAGCATATTGTGAGGTGTGATTGTTGTACGAAGTGGTTTCACCAAGTGGGTTAACGGTATCTGATTTCAAGCCAGGTTCTGTTGAATTGTTCTGTGAAAATTGCAAGTTAGTTATTAAAGGTGTAATACAACCAGGCGGTGAGTTATATTTTTCTAAACCTTCCATAACAAGAATGTAGGACTTATTTGGGACTTTAAGTGTTACTCTGAAGGCTACCAGACTAAATTATATGAAAAGTAATTTTGGAGAATACTTTAGCTGAATTCGACAGCATAAATTGGAACAGTGAAGAAGGAAAAAGAGTTGAGGTAGCTTGGAGTTTTTTATTCAAGGAGATTTACATGTGTATGTGTGTATGTAAGTATGTGTATATGTGTGTATATACTGTATGTATATATATATATATATATGTATATATATATATATGTATGTGTGTATGTGTATATGTGTGTATGTGTGCATATGTATGCGTGTGTGTATATGTGTATACGTATGTTTCTTTCTTAATATTTAATACTCTTTGCTTGTTAGTAATTTTGATTTTGGTGACACACTGCTCCCACATGAATAAAGAGACTGATCAAAATTATACTGTATCAAATATTTTATGGTGCAGTGTGTCTTCAAAATTAAATTTCTTGTTAAACCAGACTGCCTGTGATTATTTAAAATATGTAATCATCTGTACGTCATTAAGTTCAATTTTATTTATTCAATTTTAACTGGTGGCCATAACTTAAAGTTTGTATAAACTTATTTTGGCCTCCATTCACACACTTACTTATTTATTTAATCTCTAATTTACAGTATATATGTATGTATGTGTGTATGTGTGTATATGTATGTGTATATTATACTGTACAGTTATGCATATGTATATGCATATATATGTATATATAATATATATATATTTTTTTTCTTATCTACTTTTGTAATGTTAGTTAAGTTTGAATACATTGTACTATTTATGTTGTGTGTGGAGAAACCAATAAAACAAACAAACAAACAGAGGAGTTGTCCCGAAAAAACGTACCAATAATCAAAGAAGGACCAGGGAAAAAGCCGAGGACAACGGCAAATGTCGAGAAAGCTATAAAAGGTAACTATAAAATGAAAGAAAAGTAAATATAAGAAAGAAAAAGGAATGAAAAGAACGAATTATAAGAAAGAAAAAAAAAGTTATTCAAAGCAACCTAAGAAATGGTAAAAGAAAGAAATGAGGAAAACAAGGAAGTAAGAGAATCAGAGGGCATCCTCGTAAATTGTTTAAGAAACAACTCGTAAAGTCCCTTCGATGTAAATAAGCTTTCTTTTCTCTTCTCAACCCAAAGATGTTGTGCTGGCCGATGTGGGGTTATAAAGTCATTAAGGCCTAATCCTTTCCCACTACAATCAGTATCAAGTATCAAGTAAGTCTGTTTCTTAGGCTTAGGAAGGGGATATGTTTTTAATCGGGAGAAAAAGACGTGCTGTCACAGGAGCTGAACACAGCATTCTAGAAAAAGAAGGAAACATCTTAACCACTAATATATAGAACTCCAAGACTAGCCTAATTACTTACTATTACGCAAGATTTACATTGCATTGGGTAATTTAAGCTTGAATGTAAGACAAGCGTGCATTTGTTACTTACTTTCCGTAAATTATCATTCCAAGTCTATTGCTTCCTGTCCGTTTCTCGGTCGCATAGTGCTCTCCTATTTTCAAAGAATATATTTTTCCAAGTCTGCATAGTTGCTGGTACGTGTGCATGGGAACACCGAACGGTTTAAAGACGCGCAAAAAAAGATCTTTCTCCTCTTGTGTTAACTTGGCTGGTCGAATACGGTAGCCGGCGTAACCCGCATGGCAAAGATTGAGAAGTGTTAGTGTCATGCACCACATGAAGACGTCGAGTGCACAGTGGTAGACCCAGCCCCAGACGGCCATCAGTATGAACGCCAGAGCAATTAGAAGATGCATAACAAATACGGCAGCAAACCCTGATACAGGGGCACAGTAACCGAGCAGAAACAGTAATTGCGATAGCTGGAATAGTCCACCTTGGAGAGGTTTCCATGGTAAGCAGGCCAAGCCATGTTCGGGTGAAGGCTCGGTAGCATTATTCGAGTCGAAAATACCTAGGTATTCGGTTGTCATATTATCATCATCCATTTTGGTTTTTAATCTTATATTTTGCGAACAGTTGTCCTATTTTCCATGCAGTATTATTCTCTGAAAATAACCAACATAATAAACGTTAATACAACATAAAACAACAACAAACCTGAAAATAAATTTTATTCATTTCATTTGCATTCAAAAGTATGTAAATCGCCAATTGCAAAGTAGAGCAATGCTGGACTGCAGCTGTTTTGGGAAAACGTCCTATTGTCACAGAAACTGAACCCACAGCCCTGGGATTAGAAGACAAACATCTTAACCAATAAACTATACTCCATTCCCAATGTCCTCCTTCTTCATGCTCTAAACTTAATAGTAAACATTTAAAATTAGATTTTGCAGGAACCAGTAATCGGATGAGCGAATTGAGATTTTAAATAACGCATTAGTAAGTTACATTAATATGTATAAATCAAAATATAATCATAATGATGTAAAAATATATAATGTATGATAATGTATCAAGCTATCACTGTTTTGAACCCTGAAAAAAGTTGCTATCAACTTAAATCGAATCGCAAAAAAATGTAATTAAAGGTTCGCCATCAAGGAATTGGAAACGCGTTATTTATGCGTGACACTGATCCACGCAAAACCATTGAGATTTGTGTGTTTTTTTTTTATTATATGTTCTATTTGTAGACTTTTTCCTTTCTTTCATGTTGCGTGGTAGTACACAAAAACAAAAAAATGGAAAAAAAGTGAAAAAGGAAAAGAAAAAAAAAAAACAAGTTATGAGCCCTTGAAGCTTTTTTCATGTATTTTTTAAGATGTGTCACTCATAAGCCAGTATTGGCTGGTCTTACTGTATTATAAGAGTGTGACGTTAATAAAGACAAAACTAAACTATAAAAAAAAACACCTGGGGTGGAGGGGATTCAGTTGTACAACATATCAAGAATTCATTTCCCTCAGAAGCCTGGCTTCAAGGTGTTGCGTGAATGTGCTGTGCTTAAGAGTTAAATCTACCAATATCTCATATCATGAATGATCCATGCTTCCATTTCTCGGGAAATTACTCCTAATTAATAGAAATATGCTAACGTTGGGCCTCTACCTAAACAACAACAAACTACCATCCACAGGATAAAGCCAATTTCGTCAACATCAATTATAGGAAAGATTGCTAATTTAAATTTTCATTATGGATGCAATTAGGTCTCACTTAGACACCAGAAAATTTCACATTGTCTTATTGAGTGTTTATGCTCCGGAAAAACCCGGTTATAAAAACACATTGGTATTGACGGATTTTTCCAAAGATTTTGACATGGTAGACCATACCATGGCCTCTTATAAGATCAGTGATGGGGGTTTCACCTGTTATTTTAACATTGGTAATTATCTGGTCGTAAACAGAGGGTAAAACATTAAGAGATTTTTTTTCGGAATATTACCGTCACTGGAGGTGTTCCCTGGGCTTGATTCTTGCTGCAATTATGTTGTTATGTTTCATTAATATTGCTTTGGCTGAAACTGGTGATGCGGAGGTCCACGTCTGGAAATACGTTGACGATATTACTTTGGGTGTAAGCTTAAATAAGGGTAATAGCAGCAACCTACAAATTACTCTTGACTCACTGGATAAGTGGTCTACGACAACAAGCTTAAACCGAGCTCTAAATGCCAGGTTTTCCAGCTATATTTTGGTCGCTAATATCTTCCGGTTGAAGCCAGAGAGCAGTTTTGTGTTTAATGGGTCACTGTTTTAAAAGCAGTTATGTTTCGAAAAAGATCTATGTAATAAAAAGGTGGTAATATAATAAAATTAGAAAATATTTTCTGAGAATTGGCATGTTTAAATAACACCGAAAGATATAAAAAAAAAACCTCTCATCGCATAATCAATATCAATTACTCAACACATTACCAAATGAAATATGATTTATATGCATCTTTAGAAATACAATTTCTACAATATTAATTTTATATAGATAAGTGTTCGATAAATTCTATCTTTCATTAAAAAAAACCCAAAATTCAGCACGTCTATTGTCATTCTAATTAATGGCGGTTGTAACGTGCACTGACGTCATCGTCGAATTTCAGGACTTTCGACGGTAAAGCTGGCCTGCCTGCCCCGGTCCCAGACCAACCAATAATAACTAACAATTGGTTTTTTTTTTAATATAGGCCTATGGCGCATTTTGTACATGCACTTCAACTTTTACAACAAAAGCCTAGGCCTAGTACCTGTAGTAAGTTAGCTGTTTTAATAAATAAATCTGTAACTGTAGGCTATTTTCCATGTATAGATCAATAAATATAGGACTATGCTTATGTATTGTTAAGGATAGGCCTAATTTTTTACTTCAATATTTATAATTCTGTATATGAATTTAAAGATTATTTTTAGAATAAAATTGATGTTAAAATAATAAAATGATAAAACGAATATGGAATTATCAAAGGGTGGGCCATAAAGATTCTTTCTGCGGCTGGGTTTGTCTAGGTTGTAATCCCATAAGGTAGATTAATTAAGCTTGTCACCTACTCAAGGCTCGACCGCGTTGATAACCTTCAGAGGCTCCATCGGTCCATTGCTGGACAAATGTTTCAGGATGTCGACGCCAAATCAATCTTTTTCTCTTGCTGTTTTGCACCATTTCACTCTTCCCAAATAAATATTGAGCTCATTTCTTAATCTTTTACGTTGTTTTCCCTTGTTCGTTTTGCCATCCATTGGGGTCTCTGTTTGTATTTTGTTTGTACTTCTGCTGACTACAAGTTCAACAACTAAAATGAAAACCACTGACAAAACCGCTTTTTTACCATTATTGTTATTAATATTAGGCCTAATAACAATATATTAATTTTAATATTATTTTATTTATTTTGTATTCATTCCCCTTCCCCACTAGCTTGGCTAGGCTTTTCTACTATTGCCGCCAGTGTGTAGCTATTTTTTATGGGTCGATAAAATATGGGTTCCGTACGATATCTCGATAATAGTTCCTAAACCTAACCCTCTTTAGCGTAAACTAACTAACTACTAAATCCTTTCCGAGCCACTGGGCTCATAGGGCTGGAGCTTATCCCAGATTCTGTAGTGTGAAGCGGATGAGAGTTGTACTCCCCCTGAACCGGACACTAGTCCTTCGCAGGTTAGTCCCCAGCAGATTGCTGGTACCAATTAATACAGCTGGGTGGACTGATGCAATGTACCTAAGTATCTTGCCCAAGGACACAAGCGAATCTGCACAGAGGAGACTCGAAACCCCGACCTTACGATTGAAAGTCCGAACCTAAACCGCTGCGCCAAACTGCCGCTAGCTCTTTAGATAAGGCACCGTATTTTTCGACATTAAATGTGGAATACCCTGGCTCTACTACTTTGCTATTGGTAGGCCCAAGCTTGTGTCGTCAGTTTCTGTGGTTATTTTTTTATGGGATTGTCAATGCATAGGTCTACGTACGTAGGGACGACGATAGAGCCTAATATACCTTTTTTGCGACGAACACTGATGAACTAGCTTTAAGATAGCCAAAATAGAGGCTTTCGACCTGCTTGAGTTCTCATTATGTATTCCATATAGTTTTCCCTTTTCTATTCCATACCCTCTTCGCAGCCGCTGTTTGGTGCCTAAAACTATTTTTTGGTAATCATACCCTCTTCGCAACCGCTATTTGATTCTTAAGACGTCTTCGCAGCCGCTATTTGGTTCCTAAGACATCTTTTTTGGTGCGCATGCTCGACATGGCTTGGTAACGTCACTATTTCAATGCACATGCTCACTGGCTGTCTAGCATTTTCCAAGCGCATGCTCACTGTTTTCTTTATAAATAATTCACTGACGTTATTTGGTAGCTACCGCTACCTACAGTTTCTTAGTGACTATTTCCTCTTGATCGTTACAGCCTAAAGGTGCGGCGCGAAAAGATCCAGCGTAGAGTCTGCCGCAGCATTCTCGAGAAGAACTTTGTTTCTTATGCTAGTGCCTCTGGCGAGTTGGGACTGCAAACCTAGTCGAATCGCAGGGATGCACTATATTCTGAATTTGCGAAAAAGAAAACCCATAACTCTATAAGATTCAATAAATGGTTTCCTTTATCTAAAGTAGTACTTCAATGTCTCTTAGGAAATCGAATAAATCCCAACATCATAATTATAAAGCGAAAAGATTTAAGAATAGCACAATCCTATATACAATGAAATTACTTGAAAATTCATAATCATTGCTTGCATGCAGTGCATCCCTTGTCGGGTCCCTTGTGCATCCCTTTCCAACAATTATTTAGTCAACGTTTTAGCCCAAATCTTGCCAATAAATTATTAATTTAATTTAATAAATATATATATATATATATATAAAACCATATTTTCTTTATAAACTAATTCATTAAATAACTACTGGATTGATGGAAATAAAATGGTGCAATAAGGCTAGCAAATTATTTTTTTAAGTGTTGAACATATTTGGGTAGTGCAATCAAGTGGTTCTTTCCTTATGTGACATTAACATTTTAGTGATTTTGATGTATTATTTTTAACAATAATTTTGTTTATTGTGTAATTTGGTATTGTAATTATTTTGTAATGTGATGTTTAAAACTATCTCTACAATTTACATTACACTGCCACTAAAGATCTCGGTTAATGTACGCTTTGTAGTGGATGTGAATGTAATACTTCAATGCTGTGCCTTTCATATAGAATCCGGGGAAAAAGCATGGCTTGCTGTGACTGACAGCTGGTTGTTCTAACATCGATGATGGTTATGGTAATGAACACATCTAGTGGCGAAATATTCATGGGTAATGCGTATACGCGGACGTGGCATATTCTAATGGTTTTGAAACACAGACTCTAAAAACACAAATAGGCTTATTCATATTGTTTACGGATGATCAGTGGTAAAGGTCTTTGCTTTTTTTTTTTTTTTTTTTTTTGCTTTACGTGCAACTGTTAGGAATATTATTAGACTAGATGATATCCTTCATATCTCTAATCTAAATTCTAGCGCCTAGTAAAAAGAATATTAAACAAACACATATGAACATGTTTACAAGCTTTTGACGGCCACGGTACAAATAGGCCTAAAGGAGTCCAA